ATAGATAGATAGATAGATAGATAGATAGATAGATAGATAGATAGATAGATCCCTCTCCAGATTTTGATATGATCATATACATCTCTACAAAATTAATGTAAATAACTCTTTAAGTAGGAACTAGGCCTTTCAAACATGATTTCTATATGACAGTGTTGAAAAAGCAAAATGTAGGAAAATAGTAGAAAAGCTAAGCATACTCAATCCATCTTTTATATAAGAGTTATGCATTTTTGAAGTGCATTTAATCAAGTGTTTTTATTCTTTCCAATGCAATGTAACATTATAAAGGCGATCAAGACTCTATCAACAGGGCAATTCTCTGAAAATGTTATGGAAAGGGACCAAAGTTGATGTAGGAGAAGAAATGGCAAAAGAAAGAGTGAAATTGAAAATGGTTGCATAAGGTCAAAGTTGCACAAAACATCCTTCTGCACATTAAAAAAAAATCCAATGCGTCTCTGCAAAGAATTCAGGAAGCTACATTGTATCCATACCTTTTGAAGTTTTTATTAATTTTACTTTTATTGTCTTACAGTGCTAATTATCTATGGATCAGTGTGAAGATTATGTTGATGTTAGGTATCATATATAATTGTATAATAATGTCCAACATGTTAAAGATAAATATTTTAAATTGATCAACTGGGATTGATATAAAGTTCCATAGGTAACCTATCAGGAAGGAGATAATTGTGACATGCAAAAGTCCAGCATGCTGTGCAAATACAACACACACACACACACACACACACACACGTATCTTCAGTACTCATGTTCCACCTACAACTCTGTCCCAGTTCATGCAGTCTACTGATGTGTTTTTTCTGGTAGAATCATTTCACTGGCAGAATATTTCTGTGCTGAATATGTCTGCAAATTCATGGCTTGCAGAGAAAAATCCATTTTTTACTGCTATCTTTAAATGTATATAGATTATTTACATTTATCATCTGAAGAAGAGTGTACAATGATACCCTTATTCAAATGATTCAAATAGTGGCTAATGTAAAGCTAAATATTTTAAACAACTATACTTAGATTTAAGTTTTTCATTGCTAGCTAATTTATAGAAAAAATAATCCAAGTTTGGTCATATTTTTCCTAAACCAATATTTTAAAAGTATAATTATTTCAATAAATACAATACCTCTGCTATTTTTTTTGCATGGAACCTAATGTTTTTCATAATGGTTATTCTTTAAAATTGATATATTAATTATGATTGACTTGTATTTTAAATTTATTTTCATTGATGGTTCATGTTAAAGTAGGAACAGATGTAACTGAGTTAATAAAAAGATTTGTTAAACTATATGTATAAGTGATTTTATGATGGAATATAATCTGGTAATCCACAAGTGAAGGAGAGGCAATGTTGCTGAATGTTACTGGAAAATAGGATTTTCTATTTGCATTATATATTCTATATGAAAAAGGAATTATAAAGCTGAATAAATATGCGAGAAGCCACATGATTTTCATTTCATATCATTCAGCTAATGATCTAATTAACATTTTAAATCAATGCAGTCTGCAGCATTTATTTTCTTTACATGGGATGAAGTTTAATTGGATGTTTAAGATTTCATCGCCTAGTAGCAATATGAATAGCAATTGTTAGGCTCTTAATAAGTACTCTTTCAGCTCATAAAACATTGCTTAACATGACTAAATTATGTCCATGTTTTCCAATGTTGTGGCAAAAATGACCAAATTAATTAAGATTGGATATTGTCCTTAATTATAACAGTCACCTGTTTCAGAGGTATCTGAAAAAAATCACCTGGGATTAGGGCTATTGTAATGCTAGTCAACATAGGGATGAATACAATAATAAATTTCAAAATATAACTACTTATATTTTAATCTCATTAGATCTATTGAGAAAATGACTAATTCACATTTTATGAGACACACTTATATTCCTGAAGCAATTTTTGTTTAGTAAACAACTAAAAAATCCTTTCAAAAAGAGAAATCTATACCTTCATTTATTTATTTTATCAATTTTTAAAAACCTGTCTCCCAATCTCCCTCTCCCTCCAAGAGAGATTCTTGGAATTCTCCTTCTAGTTTCTGAGATTTTTTTGAACATGTTTTTCGCAATAAAATTGCAATTAATTGAACTAATGTTTAAAACTCCAAATAATATTATAAATATTCATAATATCATAAATATAATTTGATTAACATTTTTATTATGACTATATTCCACTACTAAAATTATAGCACTCTCTTGAAATTTTGCTGATAAAATTTTTATATTATTATTATGTTACTAAAACCAATTAGTTCCTTTTAGCTCTCTTGGATTTCCCAATAAATAACAATGGAACCAAAATAACAATTATCAACAAAATATTTATTTTCCTTCTAAATACTTTTAGAAATAACATTTATATTTCCCATAAAACAGTTAACATATGCCTATTTTTAAGAAAACCATGGCACATTAAAATATACATACAATTTAAATTATATTGCATTCAAATTCAAATTTAAATCAAATTGCATTCAAATCAAGGATTTAATAACCAAAAAGGAATAATTAGGAGCCCTCCTCAGAATCGCATTTCTGTACTATCATGAATAAATTGTGCTTCACAATGATATACAGAGACTCACAAACACATTCATTGCCTCTTAAATGAAAACTAACAGGAGAAGCAAATCTTAAGTACCAAAGAGAACTATACCAATTTAATCTACCGGTGTGGATTCAATTGTCAATGAGCATTTTTCAGCACCGAGGACAGCACCACAGTGCCGCTACAAATTTTCGAATTGCTCCATATAGGGCGAAGGATGAAATAGTGCCCAACTGCTTTGAATTGATAGCGTTGAAGTGTTTCAGTCTTGGGCAATGGGATCTTAAATTTGGCTTTTAAGGGGGCTCTTCAGTACCTTAAACACATATTTGGAATCTGGGTTGTGGGTGAAATAAAACTTAATATAGGTTCATAGGCTTTGCAAATATCATGCAGGTGTTGTTTGCATTTAAGAGTTGATTCCTTGAAAGGTTTCAAGTAAGATTCTCTTCATGCAATGTGACAAGTCTGTATTGATTTTCTCTGTGATGTTTTTGTAAATATTTGCCAAGACAATATCAAGGAATTGGGCATATCTCTCACAAAATATCCCTTTCCATTAAAGAACAGATAAAGGGTTTTCTTTTTTAATGGCAGGGGCTGAGGGTAGTTTAGAGAGGCAAATGAAATGACATAAGAAAATAGGTGTTTGTTGAGGAAGGGCTGGGAGGATTAGATTTATTAAGGAGTCTATTAATTCAATTGATTTTAAGATGCCCTTAATAATACAACTTGTAGATGTCTTTGACAGAAAGTCAAAAAGCAGAAATCACGTCTGATTTCCTTTTCATTTGATAGAAGGTGCTTGATACTAAATTCGAATTATTTTACGCTGCAAATCTTCCTCAGAGCCTTTTGAGCCAGGTTGCTTCCCTGATGCCACCATCTTCCTTGAGGTAAATCCCACTGGAATTCCTACTAAGTAAACTGAAGAACCACACTTAAACGCCACGTTTAATCATAAACCCCAACAAAGAAGCACAAATACTGTGTTCCTGTTCCTCTGCTTGCTCAAATAAATTACATGATGCTCTGAATCAGAGAATTTCAAATAATAATATCGAGGTTTCCCTACAACGTCGGAATTACAAACGATTTAATTCCAGGCAAACTTGGAATTAATAGGATGCGGTGCGAATGCGACTGAATGCGGCTTCTTATTCACTGTAGCAAGTCAATTTAGTTGACAGATAACAACATCTTTCTTGTACCGGAGCAGGAGGGGATGGAAAGTAGTGATATTCACACAATCAGAGTAAAACTATTTAAATGTTTTGAGCCTAAGCGTCCGAGGGCCGCTATCGAATTTTCTCCCTAGCCTATTTTTGGGGGGAAGGGGAGCCGTTTCTAGACGTCTCTGAACATATATGGTTCTCAAAGCAGGTAGCAGTCAGTCAAAAAATAGGCAAAATGGATACATAGCCGGGGACGGGGGGGAAACCAGCATTACACCATATGCAAGAACCGCAAAAGTCATTGTCAAACCAGTTCGAGGGCGAGTGTTATTTCCCTCGGAAACAGAATCCGTTTGATGATTAAGACAGTAGGGTCGATCACGTGGCAAAGACTCCCCCAACCTGGTACCTCCCGGGTGTGCTGGATTCCTCCCCCATCGCCCCCAGACGGCCTCACCTTGACGCGATTGGAAGGCATAAAATTGAAGGAAGGAGGAAGCCTTACTGGAAGCTACCTCCCCGCACACTGGAGAATCCCGTCCCAATTCTCCCCCGGGCCGCAGCAAGTGCGCAACTCCACCGCCGCGCTCCTAGAAACGGGTTTGGGCAGCTGGGTACATACAGCCTGTCGGGGAAACCGCCGTCTCCTTCGCGAGAGATCTTAGCGGCCAGGAGCGTTTCGGATCGCTCGCAAAACCGAGAGAGATGGAGCCGTCAGAGACGCAGCGGTCTCGGGATCTGGCTCGGAAAAAGGAAGAGCGGAGCGCTATGCTGACCCTCACCTTCGCCCTGAGCCATAAGAAGAAAAGCAGCATCTCCAAGACAGTTCGTGTTTTCGAGGTACATCTGTTGAAAGTTCGGTCTTATATACCAACAGGTTCGCCCCTTGTGTCTTCTGAAAAGCCATTCAAGCTTGGGGTTCGGTGCTTCCCAATTTGAAAGGAAAAAGAAAGGAGGAAACTCCTCAGGTCTAGGAGTCTGATGAATGGAAAAGATGGTTGGAAGGAAATAGGCTAGAAAACTGACACCGAAAGCAGCTCCTTGCATACTCTATCTCAGTTTCATAGTTCAAGATAGGCTGGATTTCCTGTGTGGAATTATTATATCCATA